TACCGAGATAGATCAAGAAAGTTAATAGGTCTGAATCAAAGTACATATATAGATAAAATCCTTGATCGATTTAGCATGTCTAACTCAAAGAAAGGATCTTTACCTATGACACCTGGCACGGTTCTTTCCAAGAGCCAGAGTCCTTCTACTCCCGAGCAAAAGGAACTCATGATGAAGGTTCCATACGCCTCTGCGATTGGATCCATCATGTACGCCATGATATGTACTAGACCTGATGTCTCATTCGCTTTAAGCGTGACCAGCAGATACCAGGGAAGTCCAGGAGAAGCACACTGGACAGCGGTCAAGAACATCCTCAAGTATCTTCGCAATACTAAGGATGCATTCCTGGTATACGGTGGTGAGGAAGAGCTAAAGGTGGTCGGTTACACTGACGCTAGCTTCCAAACCGACAGAGACGATTCAAAATCACAAGCAGGATATTTGTTTTGCCTGAATGGTGGAGCTTTTAGTTGGAAAAGCTTCAAGGATGATACAACCGCCGATTCGACTACAGAGGCTGAGTACATAGCTGCTGCCGAGGCATCAAAAGAAGCTGTTTGGATCAAAAAAGTTCATTACTGAACTTGGAGTGGTTCCTAGTATTAATGACCCTATCTCGTTGTTTTGCGACAACACTGGGGCCATTGCACAGGCAAAGGAACCGCAATCTCACCAGAAAACCAAACACATTGTACGATGCTATCACATCATACGAGAAATCGTAGATAGAGGAGATGTGATGATTTGCAAAGTAGATACTGACGACAACATAGCCGATCCCTTGACCAAGCCTTTATGAAAGCTAAAGCATGAGGGTCACACTAGGTCCATGGGTATTCGACCGATGCCAGATTGGCCATAGTGCAAGTGGGAGATTGTTGGAGTTGTGCCCTGATGGCCAACTATTCATCGTTATCCTATCATGTATAAGCAGATATAATATGTTTACACATCTCATGCTAATGTAAACGAATATTATATTCCTAGATTTCTATTTAAAGATGTTTATCAGATAGTGTTATTCTGCTGATGAGACTAACATCTTGAAATAAATATTTATCTGAATGTCCATAGTCGAGTATTAACGAGAGTGGGATATCGTTAATGCATGTGAGACTAGTGTGTGTTGGATGTTTGACTTAGTCTCATAGTCAATGACAGTGTGTTCGCATCCGCACATGGGCAGATATTATCTGGAGATAATAGGATGCCGGACTGACCCATCCTAAAGATGTTGCTTGAACTTTTAGTTCATGCTCTAAGCATCTTTAGCGCGACCACAGGTGTAACTATCCTTCGACTTGAAGTATTATGTTTTCTGCATATGTGAACCCGCATACTTTGATGCATTGTCCTAAGCCATATGAAATAAGGATGGTATACAGGCTTTGTTTTGGGTATGCCGCAGCGCGTATTCAGAAACGTAAATAACGTACATAGGATTTGTCACTACTCTTTTAAAAGAGATTAATGTCTTATGGGGCCCACTGATAAGTTATGATTGAGGAAATTGCATGGCCATGCTGAGATGTTTTTATGACTTCTGTTCCTATTAGTCAAACTTGATAAATCAGTGAATGACTTAATGGATACAAGCTGGATTTTATTAATCCCTTGCATTATGTTTAGACATTGAGACAAAGGGATACACTTACACGGAGTTTGAGTCGTGGAAAGGTTTTGACGGTGCAAACGTCTTAACTTATAATCTGGGGGGCAATAATGTGTTGCTAGATACCGCTTATTGCTTATAGTATTGGTGCAGAGCCAATACTGTGGCCAGCTTTATAAGTGCCTATACGGGTCACACACTTTGGACAATTTAAAGAGTAGGATTAAACAATGGGATAATAAGTAATTTGTATATTTGTAAAAATAGTAAATTAAAATATTTTGGAATATAATATTATATATATATATATATAAATATTCGGTTATATATATTATGAGATTTGGTATTGTCATGGTGAAAGGTTAGGAAGCAAAACTATTTTTTTTTCGTGGAGAGACGTCTAACATACAAATGGAGGGACTAGAAAATAAGTCAACAAATCTTCCTGAGTCTAATTTTGAGCAAATGGTTTTAGAAAACATGGGACCAATTTACGATTTTGATCATAGTGCCGAACATGGTGAATATAATCAAACACATTACGATGATGAGGACGATTATAATGATGGTAACGAGAATAATAATGACATTGAAGTTGACGAGAATAAAGACATCTCTGCAGAGCAATATTATAAGATGATTGCTGATTCATCAACAACATTATATGAATGATGCCAAAAATTCACAAGATTGTCGATTGTGGCAAAATTATTAAGTGTCAAAAGTCAATACAACATGTCTGATACATGTTTCAGAAAAGTAATTAGTACTTTCAAAGATGCCTTGCCCAGTGATAACAACTTACCACATAATTTCTATCAGGTGAAACAAATGATGAAAGGACTAGGATTACCAATGGTTAAAATTGATGTGTGTCCAAACAATTGCATGATTTACTACAAAGATAAATTTAGTTTGACAGAATGTCCAACTTGTGGTTTATCTTGTTATATTGAATCTACCATGAACAGAGGTGGGAGAAAGAAAGCCATAGCACAAAAAGTTTATCGTTACCTCCCCATTACCGATCGCTTAAAGTGTATGTACATGTCATCCAAAACTAACAACCAAATGACATGGCACTTTCGGAATGGGAGTATAAATAATGGCACAATAGGACATCCTTGCCAGGCAGATGCATGGAAGCATTTCGATGAATGTTATCCAAAATTTGCTGCCGATCCTAGAAATGTTAGGCTTGGACTATGTACGGATGGGTTCAATCCAAATTCGAGTACGGGTAGTGCATATTCTTTATGGCCTATATTCATCATTATCTACAATTTGCCTCCAGAGTTAGTTATGAAGGAACCATATATACTGTTAGCAGGATTGGTTCCAGGGCCACGTAGTCCAGGACGAAGCATTGATGTATATTTACGCCCCATAATTGATGAGCTAACGATATTATGGCGACGTGGAGTGCAGACATGGGATGTTATACGGTCAGAATATTTTACAATGCGTGCTTGCCTTATGTGGACCATAAGTGACTTTCCAGCATACGTGATGTTGTCTGGGTGGAGTACACATGGGAAGTTGGCATGCCCATATTGTGGTGATGGGCAAGGTTCATATTATCTAAGGAACAACCATAAACCATGTTGATTTGATTGTCATAGAAAGTTTCTGCCATTGGATCATCCATTCCGACGGAATACAACAGCATTTACACCAAAATGTACTGTGTTTGGTTATCCTACACCGGATATGTCTGGGTCTGAAATACTAGAAACATTGGAGAGATTTACGTTCCCCCCATTTGGAAGTACATATGATGACATTAAGGTTCCTGGATTTGGTGTCACACATAATTGGATAAAGAAATCTATATTTTGGGAATTACCTTACTGGAAGGATCAGCTTGTGCGACATTGCTTAGATGTGATGCACATTGAGAAAAATTGCTTTGATAACATTTTTTACACAGTCATGGATGTTGGTAAAAGTAAGGATGGAGTGAATGCTAGAAAAGATTTAGAACTAATGAATATGCGAGGACATTTATGGTTGTTTACAGATGGAAAACATACAAAAATGCCAAACGCAGAGTACACATTAGAAAAGAAAAGTGTTGAAGATATATGCAAGTGGTTTAAAAATGTTAAAATGCCAGATGGTTACGCTTCAAACTTGGGGGCTCAAGTGAACTTATCAAATAATACCTTTTATGGCTTCAAAAGTCATGATTGTCATGTAATTATGCAGCGACTTCTTCCAGTCGCACTACGAGGGGCATTAAATAACGTCATATGGGAGACAGTTACAAAGTTCTGTAAATTCTTCCGACTATTGTGTGTGACCAAGATTAAAATTGAGGAAATTGAAAATTTGCAGAAATTAATTGTTGTCACGCTTTGCAAACTAGAAAAAATATTCCCACCGAATTTCTTTGATGTGATGGAGTAATTGACTGTTCATCTCACACGAGAGGTAAGATTATGTGGACCTGTTAATTTGCACTGGATGTACCCCTTTGAGAGAGGGATGAAAAGTTTAAAAAGTAAAGTACGGAATAAAGCAAGAATTGAGGGTTCAATAGTGGAAGCCTATCTCGTGCAAGAGATGAGTTTCTTGAGTGAACACTACTTTGAAATTACCCTTGGTACAAGAGTAAACCCAATACCTAGAAATTATGTGGTTTTTTCAACAATTGATGAAGATACGTCAGGAATTTTATCTATATTCAAATTACAGACCAGAAATTTTCCTGGTCAAGGTGTAACACGTTACCTTGAAGATGATGAGATTCAACAAGCACACACATGTGTGCTTCTTAGCTGCCCAGAAGTAACACCTTACATGCAGTAAGTTCCGTAACTATTCTATTATATTGTGTAAATTTACTTGTATTCCCTCCATCTCATATTATTTGTTGAATTTTGACTTTTGGTCATCAACGAGAATTGACCTTTTACCTATAATTAAATAAAAGAAAATTTACATGGTATATTAATTAGATAAAATAATATTTTGAAAATATTTTACCAAATAAATCTAATAAAATAATGCTTTTATCAATATCTAATATGAATTTCATTTAATTAAAGATCAAAATTTACCAATTTTGTGTACAAAAAGTCAAATTTTGACAAATATTATAGGATGTAAGTGTGATTTAATTATGTAAATATGATACCTAACTAACGAAGAGGACATCTTCAGGCATTTTGAGTCTCTTCTTCGACAAATGTTCCCAATGTTGAGTAACCAAGAAGCTGATAGGCGGAGGAGAATAGGCTTTGCTAAGTGGTTTAAGTTATTTGCTGAGAGTTACCCAACACAATTGTCGAATATGTTGCATGAGCTTTCTCGTGGACCACTTTTACGAGCACGGTCTTATAGTGGATGTTTCAGTAACGGGTTTCGTTTTCACACTCACTCATATGGAAAAACAAAAAGTGTTGCAAATTGGGGCATTTTAGCTAAAGGTGATCAAGTCGATTACTATGGAAAAATTGATGACATAGTTGAGTTGACTTATCTTGGAAAAGAACGCAATTACTCAATCACTCTTTTCAAAGGCACTTGGTTTGATCCTACCTACGGTGTTCGTTATAATAAAGCATCTGGAGTAACTGATGTAAAGTGGAACTCTCGTCTCAATCCACCTGACGAGCCTTTCCTCTTAGCAAGCCTTGCACAACAGGTGTTTTACCTCGAGTACCCCCATAGCTCGCTTCGCTCTTGGCGCGCTGTTATCATAACAAAACCAAGATTTCGCATCGACTGTGATGTCATAAACACAAATGGGGATGACACTTCAATCGAGCCTCTTGAAGATGAGCCATTCCAAGAGGGATCAATTCGAGAACCTATCATTATTAACGATAATGACGAGAACACTGATGTTAATAGAGAACTTAATATTCCAAGTGTGACTATGACTTCTAGGATGATTAGCGAGGAACAATGCAAAGATCAAAGAATGTTACCAGATGATAATGCAGAAGATGATCTCCTTTTGTCAACAGACGAAGAGTATTAAGTTGAAATTTGTATTGTTTTCAAGACATGCTTTTAAATTTATTTGCTTTCAATTGTCCTTGTAATGTTACATGTAACACCATATTGTTAATTACAGATACTCTACATGTTTCTCTTTGTAACACCCTAATCCCTCCAGGTCTGCAGCTCTTAGCTATCCTTAGTCTAAGGCAATATTTCTAACCAGGCCCTTAAACTATAAATAGTTTAATGCAGAACACAAGAATCGATAATCCACCATATGAGTCATATGGATCACTTACCAACCAAACAGTGAACTGTCGGGTGGGTGATATCCGTTCTAGATCCCTTACGTACGTTTTAACCCCGAAATATGAATTGGTCAAGGAGGTATATCTTAGAGTTCTTCTAGATATCCTTATCACATAAAATTTTATTTGTCAAAACATCATTTTTATTTTTAACAATTATTTTTATATTGATCATAATTGATTGGTATATAAAAAATAGGATTTTATTGCTTCAAAAATAGCATTTTTGGGCTTAAAAATGTTCGTAACAGTCGACCGTTGGGTCTGAACGGTCGCCCGTTCCGCTGGAAAATGCAGGAAATTGAAGGTTCACTATTCATCATCTTCAACCTCTAGCCCATTTTTCTCAAGTTCTATTTTTGGTCGCCAAACTTCAATTAAACTATATAGAAATGTTCTCCAAGGTTCGTAGATCATTTTAGAGGCATCAATTCGAAGTTTTAACATCAAATTCAAGGTTTATGATTCTTGGTTCTTCACATATGTCAAACACAAAACTCAACCAAACGACCATTTATGAGCGTAGAAACGATCTATACGAACATTCTAGTCACTAGATATATCTACGNATTTTTGGTCACCAAACTTCAATTAAACTATATAGAAATGTTCTCCAAGGTTCGTAGATCATTTTAGAGGCATCAATTCGAAGTTTTAACATCAAATTCAAGGTTTATGATTCTTGGTTCTTCACATATGTCAAACACAAAACTCAACCAAACGACCATTTATGAGCGTAGAAACGATCTATACGAACATTCTAGTCACTAGATATATCTACGGGCTTACTTCGAAGTAAAACGATGATTCCGGCGGAAAAATGGCAAAACTTCCGGCGAACACCATGGCTTGCTCTAGCGGCGGGAAGCTCTCTGGACATCTTCTCTCAACTCTCTAAACTCTCCACTAACTAATGGGATGATTTTGGTGTGGAGATGATGAAGAATGAATTGCTCTATATATAAGCCTGGGAGAGGGAGTTGCGTAGATAGCCTGTGAATTCCGTCGATTAAGGTGAGTGGAGGGGGTGGCTAATTTAATTCCTTCCAGTTTAGTTTGATTAAATTATCTCAATTGGGGTACACTTTTTGGTCCAACTTTATCCAAATTAAAATCCGTTTACACCGTTGCGATCAGACAGTCAAACTCTATTTAATGATATAACTTTTATATTTATTTGAAATACTTTTTCTGACAGCATATTTTTGGGTGTGAGTTTGACAGAGTCAAAATTGAATTAATTGATATGTAATTAAAATTAGTCTCATATTCAATCAATATTATTAAATATAAATATTTATTTCAATAAATCATTTTACAAAAGTTCGCATCTTTGACTTTTTCTCATTTTTATACAAATTACATATTTAAAATGTCATAACTGAACCTCTGTACATCAGATTTATTCATAAAATATACCGTTGGATTCGTCTCTTTGAGACCTATCCATAAAAGTCAATCTTAGCAAAAATCATTGACTCCAAAAATTCCTTCATTTTTGGTCAAACATAGAAATAATGCTTTGTTGAGTCAAAATATGATTTCTAAAAATACTTTTATAATAGAATAACTTTTAGACCATGTTTTGGGGTGTTACACTCTTACTCCCTTCGACCTAGAGTAGTTATCCACTTTTAGTTTTACACATCATCCAATACATAATGTTGATGTATTGAGCTTGTAATCATTTGTTAAAAATTTAAAAATTTTGGACAATTTTTTTTATAAAAAAAGGTGGGGGAAAAAATTGGACAAAAAATAGGGGGGAATTTATCAAAAGGTGCCTCCCATAAACATTTGAGACCACATGTCTAAACTATCTACTCCGTATTTCCTTTTCCAATATGCCTCAATCGCAGCAGCCGCTGGATTTCAATCTCACCCGCCGCAAAAATGGAGACGGACTGACGGAGTCCAATCGCTCTGTGGGCCACGATTTCTAGGCTTGCATAGGCAACGGACTTTGCGAACGGTAAGACACCTACACTGGATTTGAATTTCTATTGATTGAGTATTTGAGTTGGTTATGTTCTTGCTTATTCGTTACTGGCCTGAGTACTCTTCTTCTTCTTTACTCTCACTCTTCCTTGTCATTAAGTAAAAGAAAATTTGACAAAAACATTTTGAGAAATGGAAGGAACCTCCCAAATCACTCATCATCCTCGAACAATAGGTATTATAGGCAGTCATCGATTTGGTTGGTCCTCCGACATAATGGCTGCGGCTGTAGGTTTGGGTCGTGAATTGGGTCAGCGAGGAATTAGGGTGGTCTACGGTGGAGGTAATATTGGTCTCTAAGGATGTGTTGCTTCAGTGGCTAAATCTTATGGCAGTGAAGTTATAGGCTTTATTCCTCGACTTATTGCGGAGAGGCATTTATATGGTCCGACGGTAGGTATTGAACGTAGGGTACGTGATTATAATCTAGGTTGTTATGAAATGTGTCATTTCATGGATGCGTTCGTCATTCTTCCTATAACGCCCTAGAAACCGGTCTAGAAGTTAATCGATAATTAAATAAATAAAAAATATTTATTTATGACAATCTAGTCTTTTAAAGAATTAAAAGATACTTTAGAGATTTTGATCCTCTCAATATAATGAAACTAATCTGATTATATTTGTGAAGATTTAAAATAAGAGATTGATCAGTACTAATTAATCGAAAGAATTAAGACGGATCAAGTGGAACGCATAAATGTTTGTCAATTGAATATAAAAGTTATATAGTTGGGTAGGAATTGACGAATCGAATCGAACGATGCGAACGGATCTCAATTCAGAGCAGGTGGGCCCGAAAAGTGTGTTTTGCTCAGACATGTTATTCTAATTTACGGACTACAAACCCTAGGCATATGTATATGCTTTTCACGCGTACAGTGGGTCTCCGCCTCCTTCTACTTCGATCGTAGCCAATCCGCAGACCAACGCCATCGTCTTCTTCTCCATTCAGAGACGAGGAAGGGCGATGCCAGTCCACGGTGGGCAGACCTCTCCGACGACTCTCTCTCTCTGTTCCGGCCAAGGCGCAGCGACACAATTGACGGCGACAATCGGCGAGGGTTCCTTCGTCGAGTTATCGACGGCGACCGTGATGCAGTGGCAGAACGGCGGCGTTTGGCGAGGAAGGCAGCAGCACGAGGGGTGGCGCTCGCGCCCTCCTTGACCAGTGAGCCTGTTCCGGCGATCTTCGACGACGACTCAAGCGCGCCGGCGAGCTGACCCGACGGCGAACGGTGATTCTGTTCCGGTGACGACTGGCACGGCGACGGTCAGATTTGTGCAGTTCCGGGGAACGATTGGTAGTTGAGCAGTGGGTGAGATTACTCCGACGTAGCATCCGAGTGACGTTCTTTCGAATTGAATTGAAACGAATCAAGGTGAGTACGTGGACATCTAACACTAGAATATGCATCTAGGTTTGAAATTATGTTCATAATTATTATCGTGGTTGATCTATGTGATTTATCCTTATAATTGTTGATTGTGGTTTCGGGAATTGTTGTCATTGAATCGGAAAGGGTAGTATGCTTGACTTAGGCATTGATTGTTGAGTTAAGGTGATGTTTAGGACATTAATGTGAACCTATTGGTGTTTGTTGTTATGAGAATTGTTATTGGTTGATGCTTTGTCGATATGTGTTTTCGTCTAGGATTGATTCCGAGACTCCATGTGAGCATGACGGTAATGATGGGCCTTCGGTTCTGATGGGCCGCTATTTGATATGTTGGTGAATAATGAATTGAGATTTGAACTAAATTAATCTTATTGGTGATTATTGTGAATTGTGAATAATATTGGGAATAGGCCACCTAGTATAATTAGGCGGACTTGAATTGGATTGACTGATTGTATCACCAATAGGATAGGTCTAGAGTTTAGGCCATTGCGGGGCGTCGTCGCACACCCGGTGGTCTTGGGTTAAAAACGTACGTACGGAAGCCCTTGAACTGTCCTGGCATCGCAGAGACAGGGGCTTCAACCCGCCCAGAGTGAATCTCCTTTGGGTTTTCTAGAGCTGGCCCTTTTATAGCATCGCTTGGGGTGCCATGACTCATAGGTATATGAATNTGCGAAGATAAATGTTGACTATGCATGATATATCTTGTATGCCATATGATTGTTGCCCAACATGTTGTGTGCATGATATCATGTGATAATTGTGAATTAGCGGATTCGCCTAAGTGTATGTTTGAACTGTTAGATATTTCTCACTCAGCTTATCGCCGAGCGTGTAGTTTGTTCCGACTTTCTACACGTAGGTAATTACAAGCTGATCCTGGAGGGTACAGAGATGGAGAAGATGTACGGATGCAGGGCTCAAACCGTTAACAGATATGATGATTTTAATGTAACTCGTTTTCTGTTAATGATCTATTAAAGATGTTTATTTAAAATAACAGTTTTGCTTCCGCACTGTTTTGAATTAACTCCGATAAACGTTTAAGTTTTAATTGAAATGTTTGGATGTATAAATTAAATATTTTTAATTTATTGGGAATGTTGTGCGTGGATACCAATTTAGTAGCAACCCGGTTCGCTAACTTATTTATTCGGGTTATGCGGGTTGGGGTGTTACATTTTGGTATCAGAGCATATGGTTTTAAAAACGGTCTTCGGAAATGGTATTATTTTGATAATAATAACAATGAAAAAAGTTATTTCTAAGTACTGCGTCCGCATCCTCCACATCATCTCTACCTCCCGGAAGGTAATAATTCATTGTCTTGTTGCTTAAATGTTTGTATGGAGTTGACTCCTCAAGTTGTTTGAACTGAACTGATTGTTCGAATAGTTGTGCTGAGCTGATTGCTCAAATACCTGTATGAAACTGATTGCTCGAATGTCTGTGTCAAGTTGACTATTGGAATATCTGTGTTGAGCTGCGAATTGTTGACTGTTGTGGGTACTTTAATGCGATAGTGTAAAATAGGAATTCACATCCTGTAGATGGAACCTACTACTATAAGGTGAATGTTAGCATAAACCTTGACAACGAGATGCTAGGTAACAAAAGAAAAGAGTGTAACAATGTACACATATTAAGTTATCTTGTCTAATATTCGATTATCTCATTTGATCACCGGAATGGATAACCAAATCTTGATGGGGCTGCAGACCTGGATGGATGAGGGAGTCTTATTTTGGTATCAAATGGGAATGATCGTATAAAGGGCAAGGAGAACTTGTTTGATTAATAAAGAAAGCAATATTTACCACCAGCACATAAGAGTGTACTGATGTGGCTGGATACAAACCTAAAGAACATAATGAACAATCTATCTGGCAAGACGTGACGTAGCGACGAGCCCTCATCAACAAGATGAGATAGAAGAAGCGGTCTCAAAAGAAATTTCGACATCGTCACGTGGAATATGTTTGGCCATTAGCGAACGCATCGTTGAAGGGCTCCTGACTTGTTACAAAGTCTAATTAGAAGGTATTAACGGCGATGATAGTGATAGTTGTTACGTTAGTGAAACGCCCCACTTACTCTTGTTAGTATGATTCATGGAATTGTGTGAAAAATAACTTTAATGAACCAAGAACAAATCAAAATAATCTCGATTATGCTGTTGGAAGATCTTAGGGTACGACTTGCGAAGAGTGAACCTACTCCAAGATCGATGAATGTACTTAATGTCAAATACGTTACCATTAATGCAATGTCGAATACGTTACCATTAATGCCGAGTCACAAAGTTGAATGCCATTTGAAACTTGGAGGCGAACCTTTGAATGCGTGCAAAGAGAGTGAAATTACGATATCACTATGTACCGTTTGAGAGGAGCAAAACACGATAATGTTGAAGACCAAGCTACATCGAGTACTCTAGAGAAGAACGAACCATCGAGGGTACACAGTTGAAACAAGTACGAGCACGATGAATGCGCGGGACGCAACTTCACGTAGACACACCACTTGAAAGATTAGACTCGCATCACGATATGACTTAGACGAGAAGAATCGATGACGAATGACAACCGTATAGTGCCGACGAGTGCAGCGTGTGACTGTTAGACGACATGTACGAAATTTGATTAGGCGATTGACCTCACGTGAGCTAATCAGCGATTTGTATCGAGCAACTACGAGACGCAGATAACACGTACATGGATGACGGTCGCTATGACTTCTGATGAAGTACCTTTGACTCATAAAACGAACTCACCGATGATGGATGAATCACGATGAAATTTGCCCCGTAAGAAATAAGCCGACAACTAACTAATCGATGTGCGGTATCCCTCGAATTTAATCATGAACGTATGTAGATCATATAATGAAAGATTTTCGAAAGACTCGCTCGAGAAATGCGTTAAAGACTTACGATCCATAGAAAGTATTAAAATACCTTGTCAAATGCGTGTGACTGTATGGATGTTGGGTTTGAATATCATGAGAAACGAAGGAGTAATATTCTTGAACCGTGAAAATTTGTCTGTAATCTAGATCTGTACGTTGACTACACTGATTGTTCTCCACTTTGACTCGCTGATGGTGGTCAAACTTCTACACGAGATTTGATATTGTATCTCCTTAACGAATTGTCAAAACCTCTTTCCAGAACCAAGTGATGACATATCCGTGAATATACCAATGCCTTGTGTGGCAAGAATTCTATGTAATAAGGTTGACTTTGACTTCTAAACTTGTACCCTACAAACGGGCAACTAAATTGTAATGAAGAACGAATTCTAATAAATGCATTTAAAAAAATTGTGACCCTACTGAATCAATTTGTACGTTCCGGCAATTCCTAGAGAATCTCGCGGAAGATTTAAATGGTGAAGATTTTACTCTACCAACAACGAAGACACGTGTACGTATGACCGAGAAGACGATGTTGTATCTGGACACATGAAGTATTCAGATCACCCTGAACGGATCAGACGAGGAATCGCTGAACGAATTTTTGTTTTTATGAAAACCGTTACGAGTAAACTTGCGTAATTTTCTATTATCCGAATTTCTAAAACAAAAACCCGTAAGTCCTAGGTACCTAGACATTATCGAAAATTATTGACGTAACCACATATTAAAGAATCTTTCTTTTTTGTGTTCAAGAAGAGAGTCGTTGATAAATAGACGATCGAATTAATTGTTACTAGGAATATATCTTGTAATAGATTCGAGCAAAACGAACTAATACACCAATGACACGAAAACCACGTCGAATATGAATAACAATAAAATAGAAATTTGTTATATGTAGACATCAGTAGTTGACTCCTCTCGAGAACAATACAAGTATGAAGTGATAATGCTATGAAACTCATCATGATGATATGCCACACGAATTGTGGCGTGATAGCACGATAGGGAAAAGAACAACTCGAGACAGAGTTACGAAACGACTTCTAACGCTTGAAGAGCCCAACGAGGAAACAAACTTTCCTAAACGCAATTGTCGACCACACGAAGGGCGTGAACGTTACCACCATTCTGTTAATCAACGAGAAATCCAAGATCTCATGCTGACGTCATGAGCTGACAAAACGAACGAACTTCGAATACGAACTAAACGACTTGTCAAATAACTGATGCTACGATATTTGAAAGTTTAAGTATTGTTTACACGCACTATGGAGGTACTCCATCCGTATCCGTTATAATCAAACTCAAGAAAGATCAAATTGTGAACTCGATGAACTTGACATATGTCTTGAATGAAATACAAATACAAAACTCCTACGTTAATACCTCGAATGATAAACGAAGAGAATTTCTGTGGGAATGGTGTGGCCATTCACTAACCATAATCGTAATGCGAATGTGAACGTCAACTTATTAAACTTTGTACCTTAGAAGAATTTCGGGGACGAAATTCCTTTAAGGGCGGGAGAAATGTAACGCCCTAGAAACCGGTCTAGAAGTTAATCGATAATTAAATAAATAAAAAGTATTTATTTATGACAATCTAGTCTTTTAAAGAATTAAAAGATACTTTAGAGATTTTGATCGTCTCAATATAACGAAACTAATCTGATTATATTTGTGAAGATTTAAAATAAGAGATTGATCAGTACTAATTAATCGAAAGAATTAAGACGGATCAAGTGGAACGTATAAATGTTTGTCAATTGAATATAAAAGTTATATAGTTGGGTAGGGATTGACGAATCGAATCTAACGATGCGAACGGATCTCAATTCAGAGCAGGTGGGCCCTAAAAGTGTGTTTTACTTAGACACGTTATTCTAATTTACGGACTACAAACCCTAGGCATATGTATATGCTTTTCACGCGTACAGTGGGTCTCCGCCTCCTTCTTCTTCGATCGTAGCCAATCCGCAGACCACCGCCATCGTCTTCTTCTCCATTCAGAGACGAGGAAGGGCGATGCCAGTCCACGGTGGGCAGACCTCTCCGACGACTCTCTCTCTCTGTTCCGGCCAAGGCGCAGCGACCCAATTGACAGCGACAATCGGCGAGGGTTCCTTCGTCGAGTTATCAACGGCGACCGTGATGCAGTGGCGGAACGGCGGCGTTTGGCGAGGAAGGCAGCAGCACGAGGGGTGGCGCGCGCGCCCTCCTTGACCAGCGACCCTGTTCCGGCGATCTTCGACGACGACTCAAGCGCGCCGGCGAGCTGACCCGACGGTGAACGGTATTCTGTTCCGGTGACGACTGGCACGGCGACGGTCAGATTTGTGCAGTTCCGGGTAACGATGGGTAGTTGAGCAGTGGGTGAGATTACTCCGACGTAGCATCCGAGTGACGTTCTTTCGAATTGAATTGAAACGAATCAAGGTGAGTACGTGGACATCTAACACTAGAATATGCATCTAGGTTTGAAATTCTGTTCATAATTATTATCGTGGTTGATCTATGTGATTTATCCTTATAATTGTTGATTGTGGTTTCGGGAATTGTTGTCATTGAAGCGGAAACGATAGTATGCTTGACTTAGGCATTGATTGGTTAGTTAAGGTGCTTGATAATGTTTAGGACATTAATGTGAACCTATTGGTGTTTGTTGTTATGAGAATTGTTATTGGTTGATGCTTTGTCGATATGTGTTTTCGTCTAGGATTGATTCCGAGACTCCATGTGAGCATGACGGTAATGATGGGCCTTCGGTTCTGATGGGCCGCTATTTGATATGTTGGTGAATAATGAATTGAGATTTGAACTAAATTAATCTTATTGGTGATTATTGTGAATTGTGAATAATATTGGGAATAGGCCACCTAGTATAATTAGGCGGACTTGAATTGGATTGACTGATTGTATCACCAATAGGATAGGTCTAGAGTTTAGGCCATTGCGGGGCGTCGTCGCACACCCGGTGGTCTTGGGTTAAAAACGTACGTACGGAAGCCCTTGAACTGTCCTGGCATCGCAGAGACAGGGGCTTCAACCCGCCCAGAGTGAATCTCCTTTGGGTTTTCTAGAGCTGGCCCTTTTATAGCATCGCTTGGGGTGCCATGACTCATAGGTATATGAATTGTCTTAGCCATCATAGGTTAAGAGATGTGATTTGGAATAATGAATATGAATATTGTAAGATGTTTTGAATATTAAATATTACTATACCTGCATGCATTATATGCGAAGATAAATGTTGACTATGCATGATATATCTTGTATGCCATATGATTGTTGCCCAACATGTTGTGTGCATGATATCATGTGATAATTGTGAATTAGCGGATTCGCCTAAGTGTATGTTTGAACTGTTAGATATTTCTCACTCAGCTTATCGCCGAGCGTGTAGTTTGTTCCGACTTTCTACACGTAGGTAATTACAAGCTGATCCTGGAGGGTACAGAGATGGAGAAGATGTACGGATGCAGGGCTCAAACCGTTAACAGATATGATGATTTTAATGTAACTCGTTTTCTGTTAATGATCTATTAAAGATGTTTATTTAAAATAACAGTTTTGCTTCCGCACTGTTTTGAATTAACTCCGATAAACGTTTAAGTTTTAATTGAAATGTTTGGATGTATAAATTAAATATTTTTAATTTATTGGGAATGTTGTGCGTGGATACCAATTTAGTAGCAACCCGGTTCGCTAACTTATTTATTCGGGTTATGCGGGTTGGGGTGTTACACTTCCTGGAGGTGTGGAGACCATGGAGGGGCTGTTCTCTATAATCTCATGGGCCTGCGATGGGATTCACACCAAACCGATTGGTCTATTGAATGTGAAAGGGTATTTTTATGGCTTGTTGAAGTTTCTTGATCATTGTGTGTCACAAAACTTTATGGAAGGCGCCCAGAGAACGTTGTTTATTTCTTCTTTCTTTGATGCGGAATTGCTTGATAGACTTGAATCCGCAATAGCTTTTCCCGGCGCTCATGCTAATTATGAAGCTCAAGTGAATTCTGGTGAAGTCGATTTAACACTGCATTTGTGAGATAGGAATAACTAATTGAAGTTTAGTCCTTGAGACAACCACTATGGTTAATTTTGTTTGGATGTATGTTATTCACTTAATTTTGTCACTCTTTGGCTTTGTATTTGAAATGCTGAATTCTATTTTGTGTTCATTTATAAATATGTATTTTGTTCTTGTTTTGTTCATGAAAGCCAAAAATTCACGAGTCCCTAGTTATAGGCGTATTTTGTTCTTGTTTTGTATGTTTTTTGCAGGTTAAAAGAGTGTGAGTACTCCTAGATACCTCAAAAAAGGGACAAGGTACACTTCAGTGACTTTACGAGGGCTAAAGATGTAACTTTACGAGATACCTCAAAAATGATGAGTAAATTCTATTTATAAAATAGCCTTCAAAGTTTCAAATTTAGAGACAAAGTCACATTTTTATCCCACTTTCAGACAAGACGAGTGGGAGCATTGACTCAGGCAGCTAAATCCAGAGTAATCAATTGTGATGCCCCTAGCTTGCCTTCCACATTGTTGTGCCACTGTTTTCCATTTCAACAAGGTTAACGAGAAGAAAACAATAAACATATAAGGGTTTTTTTATTTCTTTCCAAATCCTGCCTCTATTCATCACAAGTTCTTTGCTATTTCAACATGGGCTATATTATAAATAACCCTCAAACAAGTGGGCCAACAAATTTATACTTCGTATATGAATATGATCCCTTTACTCCCGTTAGCATAATGATGAATTTTATAGATTATTAAAATTCTTATATACATCTTTGGATGGAGGATGTATATGCTAAATCAGTTGAGTGCCTCTAATCGATACTGTCATTAAAGGACCAGAACAAGTATACTGTCCTGATTGTCATTACAGCAGCAAAAATAGAGGCATAAGAATTACTCAAGTAAAAGTGCACTAAGCATTTTATAAATAGAATTTACTCAACATTTTATAAATAGAAGAGGACTTGAGACTAACGACACACCAAAATTCTACTTATCATTGTATTAATAAGTGGTACACTCTCTTTAAAGAGTAGTTGAAACTTGATCTATCTTGAATTTTTAAAACAGGATTATCCTCGTATGGGCAGAGGGGGAGAGAAGCGTCGAGGTGCAGGCACTCTAAAAAACCCCAATTTTGATAACACATGGCTTAATGCTCTTTTGGAGAGTGATTTAAGTTTCAGGGCTGAATGGAATTCAAACAATGTAGTTTCTTCCATACCTCTTCAAAATGAAGAAATCACTTCAATCGCCCCTTCTACAAATCACTTGGCACATGATAGCATTGGTGGTTCACAATCTCCCCTTCCTATTGCTGAAACACAAGGAATAGAACCTCCCAAACAAAGGGAGGAAGAAAGAAATGAAGATGAACGAATGGTTATTGTCCCCGGGGAGTAAGAGATTTACATTGTGTATTAATTTATTTTATCATTGTTTTTTCTATCAATTAATTTAATATCATATTATGTTTGTAGTTTTTCAGTGAATAAAACTGTTCGTGAAGAAGTCAAGCGCATCAACAAAAGGTTGTTTGATGGAAAGGCCACTAGATTCTTAGGCCTCCAAAATGCTCGAGATATATATTGGGAACAACTTGAGGTAAGTTTTTGTATAAATAAAATAACATGGTGATAGATTGTATTTTACATCTAAATTTTGTTACTTAATGTGATGTTAATCTACCTTTATTCAACAGCAACGTTTTAGATGGGCTCCTGAGCATCACTCTAAAGTTTGGAAGAAGTATTTTGGATTGGTTGAAAGTGCATATCGGAGAAAAATGAATCGAATTCGAACAAATATTATAAAGAAATCAATCCCAGATTTTAAACCAGAAGAAGATTATTCACGCTTAATTCCGTTTCGACCTGAGGAAATAGGGGAGCAAAATTGGAGAAATTTATGTGCTGTTTGGAATACACCAGAGTGGAAAAAAAAATCCAGAGCGGGTTCGACAAATCAGAGAGGCATTGTTCTTGAAGAAATTATTTCTTCATTATTTTTTTTACTATTTTGTTATAGTATCCTCTTAGTTAATTGAGAACATTTTGTTGAGTCCAAAACATTCACTAATTATTCTCTATTAAATCAGTATTTTTGGGCATTAAAAAGTGCATTTTTACACTTAAATGATCATATTTGCATTCTAGGCATCATTTATAAAATATGTTCATAATGCACACTTTTCAGTTTATTTTTGAATATTATTGTTGTGGGCCCAAATTCTCCTTGACAACGGTTATTAGATATATCCTTGGAGCATAAAATGCGGGCTGAAAACGTGAAAGCAATCCAGTTGGGCTCTACCCCGACTTATGGTTTCAAAGGAAATCCGGGCCCAAGATGACAAAGCCCAAAGGTCCACCTCCAATACACACAAAAGTTTGAGAGAAGCTGCGTAAAAAAGAGAAAAAGAGAGAGAGACGTGTGAGATAGAAGAGCCG